GCCCGGCCGTCGGAGTACGCAGGCGCAGACCGTGAGCAGCCCACGGCCTTCTGGGAGTCGTAGTTTTAGCGCACAGTTTCTGCTCACGCTGCCCGCCGCCTGCTGTCTGCCGCACTTCCGGGTTAAGTCCCAGGAAACGTACGTCACTGGGGGTGGAGCCATTTCCCGCAGTGTTGACGCGTTGCTTAGCAACGGGAGGCTAACCTTTGGAAGCTCGTTGCAGCACCCGCCAAGGTCCTGCGCTCTTCCCGCCCCTCCCCTCCCCTCAACTCCCCTCACCTGGGAGTCGCCAAACATCGCCTTCGGCTGGGCACTAGGAAGGGTTGAATTTCTACCGTTAGCGCCTTTTTACATTTTCCCCGAACTCACGTCCGTAAAACCCACTGATTTTTTTACTACACGTTTTATGAGAACAAGACATTTTCTAGGAAGATGGTGGCAGAAAAAGAGACCCTGAGCGTAAACAAATGCCCAGAAAAGATGCCGAAGAAGAGGACCAAGCTGCAGGCGCAGCAGCCGCTCCTGGCGCACCAGCCTCACGCCCTGGTTTCTGAGGGCTTCACAGTCAAAGCCATGATGAAAAACTCAGTCGTAAGTGACCCTCCTGAATTGAATGCACTCCCTCCGATCCGATTCCGCAGACGCCAGGCTCCAGAGGCTGCCGGCCCTCCCCTGGACTCTGAGCCTTGTCCTGGGTGGTCTTTGCCAAAAATGGCACTTCCTTGGCCAGTAGCAGACAGTCCCCAGCAGTGTGGACTAGGTCATTAGAAAGGGTCTTGAGCAAGTGATATTTATATTTGCATTTATAAGCACATCCCTAATAACTTACAGTCTCTAGGCCACCCAAATTATTCGTGAGCTATTTATGAGGGAACAAGACCCCCTTTAATTTACTATTCTCTAAAGTAGCCCCACTAGGCAAAAGGCCTTATTGCAAGCAGGTGAGTTCTTAGAAATTTTTTTATTAGCTGTTTTTCCCCTCTCTATTATTATTATTATTATTATTATTATTATTTTAGTTCTTAGAAATCTTAAATTCTCTTTCAAATTTGACACGTGCTTGTGAGCTGGAATCGTAAACTCATTAAATAACCTATGATAAGAACTCTCATCAGTTCAACCTAGGAAATGTCAGAATCATCCTAGCATTTTATTTTAGCCACACT